TGCAGCAAGTTTATTTTAACGATCCTCAAGTCAATTCCCCCCCCCCCATTCTATCATGCAGATTTACATAAAAGACTCTGCAGACCAACAATATGCATGTGCTTATTTTTCAGGTTAATTTCTCCACATTATCCTTTCCTGGTCGGCATCTTGATATCATTCTGCTTTTGATATTCAAAAGCTGAGTCATAATTGCATTTCGCATCTTCAGGGTGCCAGTTTCAAACTGAGATGTTAATTTTGGTGCAGATCGGTAGAGTACTACATCCCATTCCATATTGTCTGTTGTTTATTTTGATATCTCAAGAGTCTGCTGTATCCTGGTTGCAATAAAGCAAAGCCAGGTGGCACCAGTAGCACCATTTTAATGGTTAAATTGGGTCAGTGTTAGAAAACATTTTGAAGTACCATTCGCTGCAAAGCTGGTTACAGAAAAGTAAAATATCTTCAAAGTGGTCAGATTGTTCATCCGGTGTTTAATGTGAGCTGGGCAATCTTGAATTCATTGACCTTACGCCATTCCAAGACTATTTTTCTATTTTCGAAACTTAAGTTTAAAGCTGGGTTGGAAGTCAGGTTAACACAGTCTAGTTCCACATGGTCATAAATAGCCCCCCAAAAAGTGGGGGGGATGCAGTTCTTAATTATTGATGTTCAATTTTGGAAGAACTGAGATCAAAATTGTTAATTTAGGCCAGCGCCTGTTAAGAAATTGCGGTTGTACACCGACTGAATAAGTTTTTTTTTTTTTTTTAAAGAATGGCTTTTGAAGCTTGTATCAATTTAAAGCTTCTGAATCTTCGGAGTCTCGTAAGCATATATATGCCATCAGTCTAGCTGCTTCATTGTGTGGTGTGGTGGCCTAGAGGTGGAGCTCTCGCCTCACAATCAGGAGGCACTGAATTCAATGAGAATATATCTACTGACAAAACTCTGCATTGGTGACAGGAAGGGCATCTGGCCATTAAACACTGCTAGTTCCATTCAGTTGCCCTGACTCTACCCCGCAAGGGATTATGATGAGTTAAATGAGGATGATGAGTGTAGGTGCTTCATTGCGAGGATCACAATTGAAATTAATCCATCTCGGGCAATGGATCTTAAAAGTTAGTTTCTTAGTACCTACAAATAGGTTTAGTTGAAAACTATTGTCGATGGAATTTGTTTCCAACACTAGCGTTCAAAGCTGGTGACAGGAAGTTTATGAAGAAAAGTTGATGTTTGCGTCCGATTTTGGTAGCTCAGCATCATCTTATTCAATATGGCTAGTGAATGTTTTGAAGGATTTCGGGGTATCATGTTATGGTTGAATAGGTATATGCCTTAATGAAGCAGTATGTAATAGCCATACATAAACAAAATGCCTTAGAAAAATTCCTTGAATGTGTATTCATAGGAACACATTTTGACTGAAGAGGCTTTACTCTTTGTAGTTAAGCAAATGAATGCCTTTTGTCATCCATAAGGAGGGAATGACTATTTTTCCACATGCTACTTTAGCTTTCAGTATTAGCAGATGGCATTCGATTATTAGACACTGTCGCTTCCCTAAGTGAAGCTAAGATTTTCGTTGGGAGGCAAGAACTGGCTGCGTTCTTCCCTGGATTCAGATTGCAGGAAGGAAAGTTCATCTGAACTATTTTTGAATTAAAGTTGCATGCTGGAAGGGCAAAACATATCCTAAAGACATTAGTTACTACAAGAAAGGATGACAAAATATTTGGTCTGGGAATATGGAAGACATGTAAATAGATTAAGGCTATTGAACTGCTGATTAAATAAACTCTTCTTTCTATAAAAACAAAAGGGATATTTTGCTGGGATACGTGTAGATCAGGTGTGTGTAGATGTGACTCGCCACACTCACAACCCATCTACTGTATTGTGTGGCTCATTAGGCATGTTATGTCTGTTTTTGTTATATTCTGGGCAAGAAACAAAACAAGTTTTCATGGCCTTCATATGCAAGTCATAAGCTCTAGTGTTCTTTCTCCTCATTTTTCAGTTTGATACAAAAGTACTCTAAAACTTTGCTAGCATAATATTCAACTTGGCATCAGTTGCCAGAAACAAAATGTATTCAAGAACTGCTAAGTTTACACACTGCTTAATAAGAAATACTTGATGTACATGGTATAAAGAAAGCAGACTTTAATATTGTGAAGCTTGGTTTACAGAGCATCGCTGGTTTTACCAATAAATATGCTGAAGTTTTGTGGAGTAAGGTCATCTACCTATTCCGTTATGGGATGTGTAATCTTGGCTTGTTTAAGACTGTACCTGTGGCAAATGTACTAATAAAGATTCTTTAACAAGCACTCTCTTGTAAGGCTAAGCTTAGAAATTTAAGAAACAATGAAAATGAAGATAGGGATTCTATTGCTATAGTGAAGCAATGGCCATGAAAAGGTGGCCGGATATCCAGCAAGAGATAATCACTCTAAAATAAAAATGCTTTCAAATTATCCTCTTTGAATTTTGGTGCTTGCCTGTCAAAGAAACAATTCTTTATATTTCTGTAAGCAATATAATAGCTTAGTTTTAAAAAACCTATTTCAGGTAAAACATGTTTCCACAAGTTTCTGCCATTTCTGTTATATATGTTGTGATGTATAATAAAGAGGTAATTTTAGCGCCTCTTACATGTATCATATCTTGAACAATTTACAGTAATTTGGGTTGTGATTCTTTTGGTGCTGTAATAGTGCATTGGAACTAATCAAAATGATCTCCCCAACTTGGTCCTTCAACTCTACCAACGCAACCATGTGTTCCCAGTTTCTATGCAAGCACAAGCCACTAAGAAATGAATGAGGTGGTCAGCTTTCAATATTTCAGTTCTTGAAGAAATATTTATTGTAAAAAAAGCCATTCCTGTATTTGTTGCAAAGACTTGACAAAGTTATTTTTTTCTATAAGAAGATAAAATCTAAGATTAACGGAGAACTGTGGTGCAGAAAGTTTCTCAGTCTTGCGTATCAATACCTAATATAGAGACTTATTTTCTATGTTCGATGGGGGAAGCTGGATATAAGTACAATACGCAGAAGTTTCTCCTTTTATTTTCATATCATTTCTACAGGCTTTGGGCTTGCAAAAAAGATGATCAAATATTACCAATATCATTGGTAATTTGTTGTATTATCAAATTATCAAATGCAGGTAGTTCTCGACTTACAACCACAATTGAACCCAAAATTTCTGTTGGAAAACAAAACATTTGTTATGTGAATTTTGCCCCATTTTATGACTTTTCTACCACTGTTAAGTAAATCGTTGTTAAATTACTAACATGGTTGTTAAATGAATCTGGTTTCCCCATTGACTTTGCTTATCAGAAGGTCGCAAAAGATGACCCCAAGACAGTGCAACTGTCATAAATATGATTCAGTTGCCAAGCATCTGAATTTGAGTCACTTGACCATGAGGATGCTGCAATGGTTGTGAGAAAAATGGCCATGATGATTCACTTTTTTCAGTGTCATGGTAACTTTGAACGGTCACTAAATGAACTTGTAAGCTGAGGGCTACCTAAACAAATAGAATTTACATGCTTTTTTATGCAGAGAGAAGATACAACATTTTCTAGAGAGTTTAATGAGAGGAGCTAGTCTAGTGCATCACCCAGATGGCTGCTTGGCATCCAGCTTCTTAAGCAGCAGGACTTAGCAATTGCAATAGCAGTTAGACTTATATACCGCTTCATAGGGCTTTCAGTCCTCTCTAAGCGGTTTACAGAGTCAGCATATCGCCAGCAGTCTGGGTCCTCATTTCACCCACCTCGGAAGGATGGAAGGCTGAGTCAACCTTGAGCCGGTGAGATTAGAACCGCTGAACTGCAGATAACAGTCCGCTGAAGTGGTCTGCAGTACTGCACCCTAACCACTGCGCCACCTCGGCTACAGAGGCTCCTTACCAGGCAACCCTGTGCATATTTAGTAATAAGAATCACTGTACTTAATAAAGGGCAATATGTGTAGCTCAGGAGAGAAACGAGGGTGTTCCTTGGTGCTCTCTGAGCTTGGTTGTTTTCTTGCAGACGTTTCATTACCCAAACTAGGTAACATCATCAGTACTACTAGCACTGATGATGTTACCTGATTTGGGCATTGAAAACCTGCAAGAAAACAACCAAGCTCAGAGAGCACCAAGGACCCCTCAAGAATCACTGTACTTGCTTGCTTAATGAGTAACCAACGTATAACTGAAAGCCTTAAACGACGCTCTGAAAATGTAATGTGTCATTGGGGAACGCAAGCTGTGTTTGTATCTTTCTATGAGCCTGGATAGATTGGATGGATGGATGGATGGATGGATGGATGGATGGATAGATAGATAGATAGATAGATGATAGAGTTAGTAGATAGATGATAGACAGATATACATAATTAGATAGTAGATAGATGATAGACATATATACATAATTAGATAGTTAGTAGATAGATGATAGACAGGCAGATAGACAGATATACATGGATGGGTGGATGCATGGCCACTTTTCCCCCCTGGGAAAATCTATATATTTTCGTTTGATGCAACTCAAAGGGGCATGCCTAAGTGCATCAAGGTGCCTACCGTCCCTGTTCTTAATGTCCCCATTTATTCGTATCCATTTCATGTATTCATAATCATGTTTATATTTATATCTGTTATCTAATACATACTTGACAAAATAAATAATAATAATAAAGGCATGTCCGCCATAAGAGAGGACGAGGCAGCTTTCGTCTGCCCTCTTCTTTGAAACAGACGCCTCCCTGCAGTCATAGCACGGCTCCCCTCGCCGTCGCTTTGCAGGGAAGCTCAAGGAAAAGCCCAGCTATGTAAGGGCAGAGAAGGAGGGACGCCGCGCTCCCTCCTCCCCCCAACCCAACCCCTTGAAACGTTTTCCAGTCCAACCAGACGCTGGGCGGAACCCGCGCGCCGGGATGCGGTTTCCGACGGGAAGGAGGAGGAAAACGGACCGGAAGCGGAAGTGGGGGCGGCGAGTCGGGCTCGGCCTGTCTGGGCGGCAGGCGGGCGTGAGCGGCGGCTTCGGCCTTGGCGGGGCCCAATGGCCTCCGCGAGCATCGACATCGAGGACGCCACTCAACACCTGCGCGACATCCTCAAGCTGGATCGGCCCGGCGGTGAGGCGCGGCGGGGGTAGTAGTGGTGGTCTCGGGCGGCGGCCTTTGGCGGAGCTGCGGGCGGGGTCTGTGCTCCAGAGCCGCTTTGGAGGGCGGCGCGAGCGCCCGGCTTGGAATGCCTTCCTTCCCAGGCAATGCCGCCCGCGCCACGCTGATGATACGGCGGCGCTGTCCGGAAAGAGCGAGGGAAGAGAAGCAGCGCTGCAGCAGGGAAGTCGGGCTGCCCTTCCCTCCTCGCCAGTGCCCCGGTTGGCGTGGAGGCGGAGGTTCTTTTCCCCACTCGGGGTTGTTGTAGCATCCCCTGCCTTTCCTTGGGAGCCAATCCTCTCGAAGGAGCTGGGACTCAGTCCTATCCGAAGTGCACAATGGAGTCAATTGGCTGCTATCTAAAATTAGTGGGGGAAATAATTCCCACTAAACCCAGGAGGGGAAAATTCCCAAGCATTTTTCATCAACAACTTAGAGGAGGGAATAGAAGAGGGACCTGGCCAAATTTGCAGAGCATGCTAAGATAGCAGGAATATTCAACACCCTAGAACAGTGATGGCTAACCATTTTGTCAAGGCGTGCCAAAAGTGGGGGAGTGGAAGGTGTCGCATGCGTGCGTGCCCACACCTATAATGCAATACCCTTGCACAACACACACACTCCCTGCGCATGCATGCAGGCCTCGCTGAAGCCTCCAGACCTCTGAGAGGCCCGTTGGACCGTTTTTTGCCCTCCATAGGGTTCAGCCACTTCTGAGGACACACAAAGCCTCCGGAAGGAGAAAAATGGCCCAACGGGCAACCCAAAGGTTCATTCCTGAACTTCCATTGGGCCCCGCTGAGCTGTTTTTCATCCTACCCAGGCTTCAGGAGGCTTTCCTGAAGCCTCTGGAAGGAGAAAAACGGCTCAACAAACAATCCGGAAGTTCGGGAACGGACTCCTGGGTTGCCCATTGGGCTATTTTTCTCCCTCCGGAGGCTTCAGGAGGCTTTCCTGAAGCCTCTGGAAGGAGAAAAACGGCTCAACAAACAATCCGGAAGTTCGGGAACGGACTCCTGGGTTGCCCATTGGGCTATTTTTCTCCCTCTGGAGGCTTCAGGAAACTTTGTGTGCCCTCAGAAGTGGCTCCACGTGCCACCTGTGGCATACATGCCATAGGTTCCCCATCACGGCCCTAGAAGATAGGCTCAAAATCCAGAAGGGTCTCAGGAGATGTGGACACTGGGCCCTATCTAACAAAATGAAATTCAGTGTAGAGAAAAGTAAAGTCCTACACTTAAGTAAGGAAGACCCAAAAGTACACGTAAACTGGGTGAAAACAGGTTTAATTGTAGTGACTGTGAGAGGGATCTTGGAGTCTTAGTAGACAACCAGCTAAATATGAGTCAGCAGTGTGCAGCGGCAGCCAAAAAAAGCCAATGGAACTTAGGGTTACAAGAGGGATACAATCAAGATCAAGAGAGGTACTAATATCACTCTATAAAGTTGTAGTAAGACCACACCTGGAGTACTTTGTCCAGTTTTGGTCACCACACTATAAAAAAGATGTTAAGACTCTAGAAAAAGTGCAGAGAAGAGCAACCAGACTGGTTAGGGGAATGGAGGGTAAAACATATGAAGAACGGTTGCAGGAACTGGGCATGGCTAGTCTAGTGAAGAGAAGGACCAGGGGAGACATGATAGCAGTCTTCCAGTCTTTGAGGGTCTGCCAGAGAGAGGAGGGGGTCAGCCTATTTTCCAAAGTACCTGAAGACCGGACAAGGAATAATGGACCCAGGAGAGATTCAACCTAGAAATAAGGAGGAACTTTCTCACTTTCAGTAAGAACAGTCAACCAATGAAACAGAAGTTGCCTTCAGAAGTCATGGGGGCTTCATCACTTGAGACTTTCAAGAAGAGATTGGACTGCTATTTGCCAGAAATGGTGTAGGGTCTCCTGCTTGGAGGGGGGAGGGTTGGACTAGATGATCTACAAGGTCCCTTCCAACTCTGTTAACCTGTTAACTCTAAGGTTTTGATTAAAAAGTGGGGGCAGGAGATCCCATTGGATAAAAAGCATCAATATATTACTTGTTTTTTTAAAAAAATTTCCATACCTAGCACTGTATAGCATACACAGTATTCTGTATTCAGATTTCTTTGATGGATAAGATAACCTTCATTGTCATTTTTCCCCTCTGTGGGCATCCTGGCACACATTAAAAATGAAATTCTGTTGCCAATTCTCAAAAGTGGGCACGTTTATAATACACACATAGATATGCTATATCCCTACTGTTTGCTTTTGTTTTTAGTTGTCAGCTTTTTTTTAGTTTATTCCATTTTCTAAATCAGCCTATTTTAACCTTGCCTCTTTAACATGTGTGGGCTTCAACCCTCAGAATTCCACAGCAGTTAAAATATAGGCAGACTATCTAAAGAATATCCTTTTTTCCACTAAATTTAGGGTTAATGAATCGTACATCTGCCTTCTTGTTCTTGTTTGATGCTAATGGAATCCATCTCACTGTCTCTCCAACCTGTTTAGCTGTTCACACAACATGTTTCCTACAAAGACTGCTCCCCACACCCGAATTTAAGGGTTCATGCAAAAATACTAATTCATTGTAGAAATGTTATACATAATTAATGCTTATTTGATTTAAATTATTGGTTTTAATAATAATCCAATAATTAGATATTTGCACTTTTTAAAAAAGCCATTTTTTAAAAAATAATGGTGCATTTTTTTTAAAGAAAGCATTGCTAAACATTTCTGCATATCCATCCTGGTAGCCAAAGTCCCCTCTTTAAACTATTCTGTACATTTGTACTCAAAATGTTGTAATTTCCATGCTTAGCAGCCTAGAAAATGGCTTGTGTTATTCTATAATGCTGTATGTTTAATAATAGTATTTTTTATTATTTCGACCACTGGCTTGTGGTGTGAAAATATAAGTATAAACCACAAATGTATCGTTTGAATAATTACACTGAATGCATTAGCTCATCTCTGTGTTTGCCCTCTTTTGTCAAACCTGATTTGCTGTTTGACATTTAGAGTGATAATAAATAACAAGTGCAGCTGTATTTATAAAAACTGCAGTCTGGTAATATTTGGGCAATTGTTTTGATACTTCTGTGCTGTGTGAAAATGTCTGTGGTTTTATATTGTAGGGTTTTTTTATCAAATTGCTGTCAATATAAGCAAAGTGAATGATAGCTTAATTATACTTCATTTGAAAGTCTTGTAGGGGTATTTGAAGCCCTTGAAAAGTTGGGGAAATCATGAAGTGGAACTTTTGTACGTTGAAGTCCACACAGCTGGAGAAAGCCTAAGTTGGGGAAAGCTGTTCTAGAAAGAGTTAATAATTTGGCCATCAACGAAATGTTTGATGTAATGTTGTAGATTGAAGTATAATACTCTATGGGTAGATTGTAGACTGGGATATACTTTTAAATCTATGGATGATTTGTAACAGATAAGCAATGTTTCTTCCTGCCAAAAATTTCGCAAGAATGGAAAGACAGTTCTTTCCCCATGCCAAAAATTAGTCTTATAGAATTAACTGCTATAGAAAATTACCCTTGCTCTATTAAAAATGCCACTGTTTCATAAGTCAGTAGTACACAGTACTTCAGCAAAAGGTTGGCTAGTTTAAAATATATGCATCTCTGTGACAAGACTAAGTAAATATGAATCTTGGTTTTTTTTCCTCTCTGTTTCCCCCATTCCTTTCAGGGTCAGTGAATGAAAACCAGAGAACATCCAGTTCCTATAATGGCGACCTGAATGGTCTTCTGGTGCCAGATCCCACTGCAGCTGGAGATGGCTCGTCCTCAACTAAGCCTGTACCACAAACCGTTCCTCTTGGAGCGCTACAAGACAAGCAGGTTATGTAGGTATCTTAATTGGTGAGGCAAAAGTGAAAGGCTAAAATAGGTGTGATTTGTGGTCTCTGGAATACCAAGAAGCATCCTGGCAAATGTTTTCTCCTGCACAGATGAGATTTCCCTCTATTCTGCTATCCCCTATATTAAGGCTTTGTAAAATTGTGTGCAGCTTCTGGGGTGGGTTGAATTAGTACAGTGACTCCTCACCCATTGACGCTTAATGCTACAATGCAACCTGTTTTTCTCCAAATGAACTTCAGCTGCCATATGGGAGGCACTGTTAATAGAAGTCCAGCATGTCTGGAGAGATTCCAGACAGGTTTGGGGGAAGCTGATTGAGAAGAGCATGTGAGGGCCCGCCGGCAACCAGCAGAGCTGGCAGCAGAGTCGGACAGTGAGGAGGTTGGGGCCAGTCTTAGGGGTTTAGGAAAGCTCAGACAAGGGCTCTGCATCGCAGGCAGAGAGGGAGCTAGGAACGGCAGAGGAAGCAAGGCAGCAAGGCAGAGGAACAGATGGAGCCTGTTTCCAGTGTGCGCATACGCAGAGCTGCCAGAAGACAAGAACAACTAAGAAAGCAGGATTGACTTAAGATTAAAGAGGGGCCAATTGGAGGCAATTGGCCCCTCCCAGAGAAACAAAAGAAGAGTGAACGGGGAGTGGGCTTTTGCAGGAATCCATTCATTCAGCCTGGAAAGTTCTGTTTGTGACTATAAGAGACTCTGCGCCAAGTTTTGCCTTGCCCTGCATTTGGAAACTAGTTATTTGGCAGCTCTCCAAACGAGATAAAGTGCGTGTGGATAAACAGTCCTCTGAAAGGCTGTTTGCTAAAGCCTTGCTGACTGTGAATGAAAGGAATTCACAGTCGTGTAAATAAAAGAGGTTTTGTCGGGGCTAAGACTTTGGTTCTTGCTTTCTAAGGAAGCCTGGGTCAGAACAGAGAAGCACCCTGTCTTGTAAAGAGCAGTCACTGTCAGTTGGGGTTTGCTGCTCCTGCTTTATTTTCTTCGTTTGCCCATGGATGGGCAACCTTTGTGTTCAATCTGGATCTGTAAAATGCATTGTTGGGAATTCTACAATGCTGTAGCCATGCCAAGTGCTTGATTCTATGGGTACAGTGACCATGGTCTCAACTCTTAGAAGAATTCACAGAAAAAGTTACCCTTAATATCCCCGAAGACTGACTTCTTTTTCTCTTCACTTCCTGCCCCTGGCCACCTTTTAGCTGCCTCTCTGGAGATGATAATTCCACCTGCATGGTGATTCTCGCAAAAGATGTTGAAATAGTGGCCAGCAGTGATTCCAGCATCACCAGTAAAGCCAGAGGAAGCAATAAGGTAAAATACAAGAAAGCACCTTCTTATTTGGGTCATAACTCTCTTCCTTCTCACCTGCTGATGACAAGCGATATACCTATCCTGGTATTATAAGAGGGGAAAATATATGTAAAATAAATTGACCATTGGCAGGTGCAAATGTTATATTGGGTACATGTTCAGACATTGTGCTTGAGAATGTGGCTTTGATATATTGACAGGCTGTGATCCAAGAGGGGCAGATTGATTGGAAGACTAGTTCATGCAGGGAAAGTCTGGAGTTCTTTCCCTCTCCCCCTTTCCATTTCCAGTCCACACACCTCAGGCCTTTCTCCCCTCAGAAATGTCTGTGAACAAACAAGTAGGAGAACACTATGCATTATTTGGATGAAAACCCAAAAGAACGTTAACATCTTTTAAATGTTAAATGTTAAACTCTAAATGTGCCTTCATGTGTATTTCTGCCAATCAATCGGTCCGTTCTAACAAAGTCCCTTAAAATGGCTCAGCTATATTACCCATCTTGTCAATCTGTCTGTGTGCAGTTGTAATTTCAGGAATTGCCAGCTCGTTATTTATGTCTGGTTAAGAAACAAAAAGTTTGTTAATTTGTTATCTAATGTCTCTATATGTGGTTGACCATATTCTTTCCTTCTTCATACCATTCCTAATTCTTCTTTGTTGCTGAGAAACATTCTAAAATATTCAAAAATAATGCTTGTTTGCTGATTTGTTTCTTTTTCACATGACTGTGAGCTTTCCTTCTTCTACAGATTAGACAGTGGCCATCTCCTTCTCAGCTTCACAGCTTCCTATCATAGAGCATCCATAGATCAGGGATGGGCAACAACAATGACCCCTTTACGTCCTGTGGACTTTCAACTTCCATGCTGGCTCAGGAATTCTGGGAGTTGAAGTCCATAGGCCATAAAGGGGCATAGTTGCCTACCCCTCCTATAGATGGTCTTCTTTACTAGGTCGGGTATTCCTTTTGACAGGGTATTGAATTGATTCCTATGCTAAAGCTATTGTTTGTCTTCTTTTCTTCCCGCCAGGTTAAAATCCAGCCAGTAGCCAAGTATGACTGGGAGCAGAAATATTACTATGGCAACCTCATTGCTGTCTCAAATACCTACCTGGCTTATGCTATTCGAGGTGAGGCATCTCCCCATCCTCCCACTGTCCATTCTGAAGTTTCAGGTTGGGCTTCTTTTGCATCTTAACTTTTGTCCAGTGGCCTGTGCTGGACTTTGTTCCATCTCCACAATAGAAAGAGGAATTAGCACTCCCCCGGCTCCTTTGGAACTAGGTGTGTTTTACCCTTTTTCCTCCCAGGTGCCAGCAGTGGCTCGGCCATGGTGCGTGTTCTGAGTGTCAGCACAGCTGAGCGGACGCTTCTGAAAGGCTTCACTAGAGGTGTGGCAGATCTGGCTTTTGCTCACCTCAACTCCAACCAGTTGGCCTGCCTGGATGAAGCTGGCAACTTGTTTGTCTGGTGTCTGTCTATGGAGAATGGAAAAATCCAGTATCTTACTTCAATGTTAACCATAATGGCAAAGGGTCATAATATTGGTAGATAAACTAGTTAGTCTGCGGTACAATTTGCAAAACCATTGTAAACAGTTGGCACTAACTTGTTTTTTTTTAAAGCCACCTCACCCCCTCTATAGTAATGCCATTATTACCTTACTTAATTCTGCAAGCCAGAACTAGGCATTGAGCTTTTTGATTTCGGCATGCAAAATCTGAAATCTTGACTAAGTTACGTTTAGAGTCTTGCATTCTAGTCTTCCCGTTAAGAATTTTTCTCATCATTAACTGTTCTGTTTGTGACTTTTACATATCTATAACCTTCACTTCATCGAAACTAGCTAAAATCGAAGATAACTGATGCATTTATCAAACAGAAGTATAAATAATGAATGCTACAGAAAGGAGAATTCAGTTGTGCTATAATGACAATTGTTGATCTTTAAAAAAAATAAATAGAAATGGAGCTTTCCTGCCCAATCTAGAAAGCAGTGATGAAAACTTTATGCATTGGTTGTTCACATAAACTTTTAACTATGGCATTGCACTGTCCTTAGTGGCTGAATTCACACATACTTCCTAGGAAGGAATCATGACTTATAAACCACAGTGACTAAGTTCACACAATGGGTTAAACCAACGATTTTGTGGTTGGTCCTAAGTCAACCATTGCTAGTTTAATGTTTGTGCTTAGAAGTAGAAGTAGGTTTTTACTATTGCTAAAATATGAGGACAGGATGTTGCATAAACTCAGATTCTCATTCAGTCATTTATTTATTTCCAACACATCTGAGATAGACCAGAAAAAATACTAAAATTGAACTTCTGTAAGGCTTTTGTAAAGGGTATTAATGATGGAGGTCTTCCTTAACTTCGGTGATCAGAGAAGAGATCTTGGTGAACATCAAACGACCCGATGGGACACCTCTGAACAACTTTCGGAGGATAATCTGGTGTCCCTTCATCCCTGATGAGAATGAGGAGAGCTGTGAAGAAGGCAGCCAGACTCTGGCATTGCTGCATGAAGATCGAGTAAGCATTTCTGCGGCTTTCTTCTTTCCCTTGGAAATGGTGCCATTTGGCCACTCGGCGTAAAGTTGGCTTTTTTAAAGCAACGATGGCACTACAGGTAGTCCTCGGCTTACATCTATAATGGAGCCCAGGATATCTGTTCTTAGGCACGTGGTTAAGCATGTTTTGCCCCATGTGACGCTCTTTCTTGCCATGGTTGTTAAGTGAATCACTACGGTTGTTAAATGATTAACACGGTTGTTAAGTGGATCTGGCTTCCTTATTGACTTTGCTTGTCAGAAGGTCACAAAAGGGGATTGCATGACCCCGGGACACTGCAAGCGTCATAACTATGAGTCAGTTGCCAAGTGTCTGAAACGTGACCGTGAGGGCTGCTACAAGAGTTGCGAGTGTGAAAAACGGTCATAAATCACTTTTTTCAGTGCCATTGTAACTTGGAATGGTCATTAAATGAATGGTTGTAAGTCAAGGACGACCTGTAGATTACCTGAGATAGGACTGATAGAATAAATAGGATTTATTCTCCACTGTGGAGTCAGCACTGAAGAAGCTTCTTGGGTGAGGAGTGACACGACTTCAGGGGGGGAAAACAAATAAAGTCCAGTTGACTATTGAAAAAAAGCACCTTTGGGACAAACATGACCTGGATGACCGAGAATCTCCATAGGCATCAAACCTGTTGGGATGATTCCTAATGGAGCTTTAGCATGTTCTTTTTGCTCACCTTTTCCCTTTGTGTTGGCAGGCTGAAGTCTGCGACCTTGACATAATCCGAGCCAACCATAGTTCATGGCCAGTGGAAGTAACCAACATCAAGGAAGGCTACATTGTGGTGAAGGGTCATAGCACGGTAAACATTCAGCCATTGTCTTGGTGTAGCGGCATAAGTTTCTGAGCGAGGTATTATAGCTCTCTGTTCTGTGTGTCTTAATTCATGAACCTCAAGTGTTCCTCTTCGCCTTCATTCCAATGGCTGATGACACTAAAAGCAAGGCATTCTTTTGCAGTTATTTCTGGGATTTGCACGTATTAAGCCAGGATGTGAGTGAGCTGTGATTGGGAAAATAAGCAATGAAGAGTTTTAGATTAAATCTAAGTTCAGGATTTTGCTGATGTGTCCTCCGATAATCTAGAATCAATGTCCTCACATCATCCATTTCAAATCGACCGGGGTGTGTGTTGTGTGTGTGTGTGTTTTAGCTGTTGATCCTGAATATTTTGGTTCTACTTCCCTGTAATTCTGGATCTTGATCTCATACGATGTTTTCCACCTCCCAATTTGTGTAACTGCTTGTCCATACTGGGCACCAGCATGCTACTAATAGGAACATTATGATTTCTTCAGCCAGGATATCTGTTTTTTATGAACAAATAGACCTACCAAATGTTATCAGAAGAGAGGCTATTAAAAAATAGCCTTGTCCCCCTTCTGGTGTGGTGTTGTGGCAAGACAGTTGGGATAGCGGGGCTCTGCAAATTCCCAGTCAAGCCTTCCTCGTTGAGAGGCCCTAAATAACCCTGGAGGAGTGACGAAGTAAGGAGGGATCCCTGACTGATCGCGAGAGAGTAGCCGCTAGCTCGATCTTAGGCACCCTCCCAACCAAGGAAGAGAAACTGCAGTTATGGCCGGAATGAAGCTGGGGCAACCGAAAAAAAGAGATGAGCTGAAATGGTTCATGAACAGAGGATTGGAACTGTGAGAGACGATTTTCAACTTCTATATTAGAAACTTAAATCCAAACAAAATAATTTTTTAAAAGAAAGATTCTACAAAATGTTAAGAAAGCAGCGAACTAATACATGGAAATAGATAAGAGACCCAAAGAAGAAATAAACTTTAATGGAAGACTACAAAGTTTTAAAATATAGAAAGACTGGGCTGGAACCTGTAGTATTGTGAAAGGTGCCCTAATTTGTGGAAAATATTGTTTGACTATTGGAAGAAATTGTATGAAGAAAATATTTTTCCCCATCTTTTGATAATCAGCTGTTATACTTTCGCATCCTTTAATGCTATAACTTAGAGCTGGGATGCCACCTACTGGTGAAAAAGATATACTATTATATGGTGGGAATAGTCCTTGATAGAGGATTGATAACAGAAACGAAGAAGAAGAAAAACAATGAAAGGCAAACAACACCTGGAAGGGATTTTTAAAAAATATTCTATATCTATTTGCTTTTTGGCTGCTTGGGATTAACTAGTGAGCCTATTGAAGATTTTCAAGGCAAGGTGGACTATAATTAACAGTAATTACCCTTGAAACTGGACACGACTGGATTAATGAAATTTCAGGAAATTTGGTGGACCATTCTGGATTATCAACAATGTCTGATAGAACATTCTACGAGGCAAAAGAAGAAAAATTAAACAAGATTTTGAAAGTTGTATAACTTAGAGGGAGCAAATTGAAAGATTTTGAGGACTATAAAAATGGTGAATATTGAGTAACAATTCTGGGACTGAGCTAATTTGACTAATATCGGCCTTTATTTTTGATGTTTCTGGACAATTGGGATTTTGGTGGATTATTGAGTAACTTTCATCTTATTAAATTGCAAAATGTTTCAACAGGAATAAATAAATACACTTCCAAAAGAATTGTTATTGATGCTTCAATATATTCAAGAAACTCTGACAAGAAATCATAGGGAGTTGATGACTTTGAGGCATGATATAGATGTGAGATTAGAAAACTCTCAGCAAATGACAATGAAAGACGAACAAAAAATCCAGAAAGTAGAGAAGAAATCGGAAGGAGCTGGGGAAAGAACAGAGGAGATAAATCAACAAATGTCACAAGCAGATAAAGATCTGGAAGAGACAGCAGAAATTCTTAAAATGCAACAGGCAGATTACTCATTCAGAGGTCCAAACATAGAAGAGGATATGGAGAAAGATCTAGAAGTGATGAAAGAGTTACTGACGGGTGCTCTAGAGACTCAATAGCAAGAGACAGATGTTGAGGCAGATGAAATACTCAGACTTAAATATAAGGGATATAAGGAGATACAAGATCCCAAGGGAGGAGTATGGAAGATTTACCAAAAAGTCAAGAAGAGTTGAAATAATAAAAAGGGCAAGAGATGATGGATAGATACAAATACTTCTTAATATGGCAATTGCTTCATTAAGGGTTAGAAAATAGAGGTAGAAAATAGGAATTGGAAAATAGTATTACATACACTGATACATAATAGAATGCATTACAATTACTATGCATACGTAAATGTTAGAAGTTGAAAGCTTACTATTATGTATACCAAAATGTATACCGGTAGGGAGGTGGTGGCTCAGTGGCAAGAACGCTGAGCTTGTTGATCAGAAAGGTTTGGCGGTTCAAATCCCTAGCACCACTTAATGGAGTGAGCTCCCGTTACTTACATGTCCCAGCTTCTGCCAACCTAGCAGTTTGAAAGCATAAAAATGCAAGTAGAAAAATAGGGACCACCTTTGGTGGGAAGGTAACAGCATTCCGTGCGCCTTCGGCATTTAGTCATGCCAGCCACATGACCATGAAGACGTCTTTGGACAGCACTGGCTTTTTGGCTTTGAAACTGAGATGAGCACCACCCCCTAGAGTCGGGAACGACTAACACATATGTGCGAGGGGAACCTTTACTTTTACAATATCTAAGCAGTATTATTATTGTTGTTGTTATAAAGTACAATGACCCAGAGAATACATTGTTCACTAAGCACATATGGTTGTTATAGAAAAACTATGAATTAAATTATTATTTTTTAAAATAACCTTGTGCCATCCCCAGCCAGATTAGCAGAAAGATGTCTGTTATTCTGTTTCAACTGTGCTGAAAAATATAGATAACTGCTATATTTTTACCCCTTTGTTCTTTTCTAGCGCCTGAGTGAGGGAGCGCTTTCTCCTGATGGAACTGTCTTGGCTACTGCAAGCCATGATGGCTACGTCAAATTCTGGCAGATTTACATAGATGGACAAGATGAGCCAAGGTAATTTCAGAAACAGAGAACTGTCAATCAAGGGGAATGTTTGTAGCCTAGGGTTGAAATGAAGGGGTCCTTGGCGCTCTCTGAGCTCGGTTGGTTTCTTGCAGACATTTCATTACCTAAACCAGGTAAGAGCAAACTTCACTCCTTACTAGCACTGATGATGTTACTTAGTTTGGGTATTGAAACGTCTGCAAGAAAACAACCGAGCTCAGAGAGCGCCAATATTTCCTCACAGAGAAAGACGAACTATATCTAATATCTTCCCTAGGTTGTAGAAAGAGTTTCATTGTTAAAACCATTAAAAAGTTGATTTGTCCATCACCCTCTACATTTCCACATCACACCAAACCAAGAAGTGGCTTGTTTGGAATTCCTTTCGTATGGACCTAGCTAATTTAGTGCATAAACCACAGATTATCCATCTTAAGGGATAAAGTGAACATAGTCATTAGAAACTTCTTCGGGAATGCATGCCTAAAACACACATTGGCTTGGAATGAAGTATGACTATGTTTTTGTTTTTGTTAATTGCAAAGTCGTGTCCGACCCATAGCAACCCCAAGGACAACTTTCCTCCAGGCCTTCCTGTCCTCTTCCATCCTATGGAGTCCATTTAAGTTCACACCGACTGCTTCAGTGACTCCATCCAGCTACTTCATTCTCTGTTGTCCCTTTCTTCTTTTGCCCTCAATCGTTCCCAGCATTAGGCTCTTCTCCAGTGAGTCCTTCCTTCTCATTAGGTGGCCAAAGTATTTGAGTTTCCTCTTCAGGATCTGGCCTTCTAAACAGCAGTCAGGGTTGATTTCCTCTAGAACTGATTACTTTGATCGCCTTGCAGTCCAAGGGACTCGCAGGAGTCTTCTCCAGCACCAGAATTCAAAGGCCTCCATTCTTTGATGCTTTCTTATGGTCCAACTTTCACAGCCATCCATTGCAACTGGGAAAACCATAGCCTTGACTATATGCACTTTTGTTGGCGATGACTATAACCATGGTTTGTTTTATTTCTTCAGTCGGTGCCTCCATGAATGGAAACCTCATGAGGGCAGGCCTCTTTCCTGTTTGCTCTTCTGTGACAACCATAAGAAACAAGACCCAGAGTAAGTGATGATCCTGCTCTATATGAAGGGGGTTAAGGGGCCCTTTGCCAAGTGGGAAGAAAATAGCTGCACACACACACCACTTTGCATTCTTAAGAAAGGTCCTGCAGTTGTGAGGCTGGGCTGTAGAAAAAAGAGCAGGACCCTCAAAAGTGACTTGTGCAGAGCTGTGTTGTCTCTCTGCTGTAATGTGTCCTATAGAAGCTGTGTGTTTAGGTAGATACTTGACGGAAGAGACCTCTTTCTCTTTGCAATTAGCAAAATTTCCTGGAATATCCAAGATTTCTACTTGCGGAAAAGATCTTTAACTTCCCAAGCTTTATGTTCTGACCCAGGCTTCCTTAGAAAGCAAGAAGCAAAGTCTTATATTTAAACGACTGTGAGTTCCTTTCATTCACAGTCAGCAAGACTTTAGCAAGTTTTTCAGAGGAATGTTTATCCACACGCACCTTATCTCGGTTAGGACGCTGCCAGATAACTTGGGCAGGGCAAGGCAACACTTGGCACAGAGTCTCTTATAATCACAAACAGAACTTTCTGGACCCAGTGAACAAATTGTTTCCTGCAAAGGCCCACTCCCGGTTCATTCCTCTTTTGTTTCCTATGGGAGGGGTCAATCACCTCCAAGGTGTGGCTTTACCCTTAATTCGACCCTGCTTTCTTAGTGGTTCTTGTCTTCTGGAAGCTCTGCGCATGAACACACTGGGAATAGACTCCAGCTGTTCTTCTGCCTCGCTGCTGTCTAACTCTCTCTCTGCTTCCGACGCAGAGTCCTCGTCTGAGCTTTCCTCAACCCACAGGACTGGCCCATGTTCCTCCCCAACCTCCTCAGTGTCTGACTCTGCTGCCAGTTCCGCTGGTGGGCACAACACTTTACCTTGCTAAAGTTATGATCGACTGTATGAATTTACTATGGCTGGAGGGTTTTTTGTTTTTTTTCCTTGTTGCAAGCGACATTTCCTTGACCACAGTCTTTTTGTGGCCTGAGTCTGTTTTCTTCCCATTCATTCATTTCCGCAGGGTTCCTTTTTGGAGGTTTCTCATCACCGGAGCCGATCAGAATCAAGAGCTGAAAATGTGGTGCACCGTCTCCTGGACCTGCCTCCAGACTATTCAGTAAGGGTTCCTGTAGCTGACATTCCTTTAGTGGTAGTGGTGGTGGTGGGGAATCAGATGTCCCAGAAAAAGAAGAGGAATAAGTAAGTTCCCAAGTGTGTCATGGTCACTCTCGCCTTTGGTCAATTTCAGGTTTTCTCCAGATATATTTAGCTCTGTGAGCGTCCCTCCCAGTCTGAAGGTCTGCCTGGATCTCTCAGCCGAGTACCTAATTTTGAGTGATGTGCAAAGGAAGGTAGACATTTGAATTTTATTTTATTTATTATTGAATTTATTCGCCACCTGTCTCGCTGACCTGCAGATCAGATGGCTGTTGCGATACAAACGTCTAATCTACCATGGTAGATTAGATGTTTTAGTACTTCCTGTATTCTGTTAATATAGTGAGTAGAACTGGTAGTAGTACTTGATTAAAATGATTAACACTTGCATATGGTCCTTCGTTTATTTTATCATATATTTAGAATAGAATAACAGAGTTAGAAGGGACCTTGGAGGTCTTCTAGTCCAACCTCCTGCCTAAGCAGGAAACCCTACACCATTTCAGACAAATGGTTATCCAACATCTTCTTAAAAACTTGTTGGAACATTCACAACTTCTGGAGGGAAGTTGTTCCATTGATTAATTGTTCCAACTGTCAAGAAATTCCTCCTCAGTTCTAAGTTGCTTCTTTCCTTGATTAGTTTCCATCCTTTGCTTCTTGTCCTGCTCTCAGGTGCTTTGGAGAATAGCTTGACTCCCTCTTCTTTGTGGCAACCCCTGAGATAATTGGATCATTGCTATCATGTCACCTCTAGTCCTTCTTTTCATTAAACTAGACATAACCAGTTTCTGCAACCGTTCTTCATATGTTTTTAGTCCCCTAATCATCTTTGTTGCTCTTCTCTGAACTCTTTCTAGAGTCTCCACATTTATTTAAATGATTTATGTGGCCATTTATCTGGTAGCAATGAATGTACATCGTAGTTTTATTAAAGCATTACTGCTAGTCCTTGACTTACGACCACAATTGAACTAAGCTTTACCTGCTTCCTGAGCCAATATGAGACCATGCCTCCTCTTGCAGCCTCTGATGAGATGGATTATCTTTCACAGGTCTTATATGTGATGGAACTTGTCCAGAACCAAGAAGAGGGCAAAGCTTACTTCAGCTCCATCTCAGAGTTCCTGTTGACTCACCCAGTCCTGAGCTTTGGCATCCAGATGGTCAGCCGCTGCCGACTGAGGCATACCGAGGTCCTCTCAGGAGAAGAAGAGAGTGATGGCATCAGTGCTGGTAAGTAGGCGATGGATGCCTCTTCCCTGAGATGAAGAAGCCCAGGAGGCATCATTTCTGGACACAGGACAAGAGTTGGGCATGATCAAAACAAAGGCTTCTCTCGGTCAGTTGTCTTTTGGCATGTTGGCCAACCAGACTCCAAGTAGACGCTCATACCTTCTGCACAGGTTCTCCGGACACTGGTTTTCTTACATAGTCTTTATAGACCAGAGGCCGGCAACCTTGAACACTCAAAGAGCCACAAAAGTCCTAACTGGATGGTTTCAATTTTGGAGCTGACAGGAAGTCCGGTTCCCCCACCATAGAGTCTTCTCCTAGCATGGCATCCTTTTTTCTCTACCTGTCCTAATCGAAAGCCCTATCCATTGTGGAGCTGATAGGAAAACCCGCCTCTTGCCATAGAGTCTCCTCCTGGTGTGCCCTGCTTTCTCCCCCACCCTAACTAGAAGCTCCTCTCAAAATTGTGGTGCTGACCAGCAACAGGGAGCTGCAGCAGAGGGATGAAAGAGCCACATGCGACTCCAGAGCCGCAGGTTGTTGACGCCTGATATAGACCATGACTAGCCTCCTCTTCCATCCGTTTGAAAAAATCCCCCTTTTTTAGATTGTCCATTTCCAGTAGCAAAGCTTTCACAGTGTGAAGCTGAACTGGTTTTAATAGCCCTAAATTCCTCACCCGTTAATGTTTTGATCATCTTAAATGATGTTTAGCATTTTGGTAGAGGAGAAAAGAACATCTTCCGTCCCGAATTCCTTCACACCGTGAAATTTGATTTATTTCTCTCGTGTTCCTCTGCTTCCGTTGTCTTTTTCCTTTTAAAGTAATTTGTAGATTGATAAACCATGATTTCATCATTGTGTGTGCAAGGGGGAGAGAGAGAGAAGTTAGAATAGATAGAGATAGACAGACAGACAGACGAATATTAGAGATAAAGTGGATGGATGGATGGTTGGGTGGACGGATGGATCGATGGATCGATGGAGATAGATTAGATAGATAGATAGATAGATAGATAGATAGATAGATAGATAGATAGATAGATAGATAGATAGATAGATAGATAGATAGATACAGATGGTAGATACAGTAGACAGATTAGAGACAGATATATTAGAGAGAAAATAGACATGGATGGATAGAGATAGACAGACAGATAGGATAGAAGATAGATGATAGATACATATATAACATACATACATACATACATACATACATACATACATATGGCAGATAGATAGATAGATAGATAGATAGATAGATGATAGATAGATGATAGATAGATAGATAGATAGATAGATAGATAGATAGATAGATAGATAGATAGATGATAGATAGATGAT